AATTAATGATCAGTTTTCTGGGCAAGAATTGGTAAACGTTTTTTTTTACGAATTCTAGGAAAGAAAATATAATAAAAAATATGTATTATAGGATATTGCTGATCAAAAAGAGAAGAAAATGGAAGAACCTAAACCACTTAGATTTTTGGTTAAAGTCGAAAAACCAGTACCAAGACCACCAACACCTGGCGTTGATCTACCTGATCTGGTATGTTTAAATATATATATATATATATATTTTTTCTCTTGATTTTCATTACAAAACGAAATACATTTAATTAAATAGGATAATGAAGAACGTGAGAAAAGTATTATTTATCTTCAAAAACTTCTTCGTGGTCGTGCTATACAAAATATGGTTAGTTAATTCTTTCTTTTTTTTTTTCTATATAAATTTTATTCTATTAGATGTATAAGAATAAAGAAGAACGTATTGAATTAATTGATGAAATGCGTAGTACACATGCATTACAAGAACAAGATATGAATAGAAAAAAACTTCAACGACAAGATGTTCAAGTAGCACAACATGCTCAAAGAAAAGATATTACACGAGTAAATTTTGTTATTTTTTTTTTTTTTTATTATAAATTAAATTAAATTTATACATTTATTGATAGGAAGATTATGTTGATTCAATTCTTCAAACACTTGAAGGCGAAGCTATTAGTGATATGTTTGATTATTTATCAAAAGAATTAATACGTCTTCAAGAAGAACGTCGTATTGCTGCATTTGCTATGTTAGCTGAACGTCAACGACGTTTACGTGAAGCTGAAGAATCAGGTTTAAGACAAGTTGAAGAACGACGACGACGTGAACAAGATGAACTTTTTAAACAAGTTTGTTTTATCTCATATATAAGATGTTTTTTTATTTTGAAAAACTTGTTTAGATGCTAAAAATGACTCAAAATACGGTTGATACATATTTAGAAGATATTATTCTTGAAAGTACATTTGAAACAGCTAGTGAACAAGCTCGTATTGAAATTCAACAACAAGCTGTAGCCATTGATGATATTGCTCATGAAATTGAATCAAAGTAAAAATTTAATTTAAAATTAATCTATAAAAAAATTTTTATTTTTTTATATTAAAGACGAACTCAACTTGAATCAGAAGGTATTGTAGCTGAATTAGTTCATGGTTTTCTTATACCAGAAATTGCTAAACAAGAAAGTCGTAATAAAGGTATATTTAAATATGAATTTAAAATAGATAAAATATTAAATATTATATTTAGTTCGTCATGCTCAACATAAATATTTATTAGCTGCTCATCGAGTTGTCAAAGAAAATTGTACGGAAAATCTCAATGATTCTATTATTATCAATAGACAACAATCAAGAGAAATACCATCGAACAATGAACATTATCAAACAACACAAGATGAAAATGAACATCAACAAGAAGAAGAAAGAGAAGAGCAAAATCGTGAATTTGAAGAAGAAACTCATAGAGAAGATAGTGACGAAGAAGAAAATCGAGAAGAAGAAAATGAAAATCGTGGAGAAGAAGATGAAAACCGAGAAGACGAAAATGAAAACCGAGAAGAAGAAAATGAAAATCGAGAACAAGATGTAAATCGTGATGAAGAAGATGAACATCATGAAGAAGAAAATGAAAATCAAGAACAAGATGTAAATCGTGATGAAGAAGATGAACATCATGAAGAAGAAAATGATATTCGAGAATTTGAACATGAAGATGAAGAACCTATTCATAGTGAAATCAATGATGAAGATCGAGAACAATAGGGTTTTCTATTATTTTCCTATTCAACAAAACATTTTTTTTTTTCATAATAACTTTTTTTTTTTTTTTATTTTGTATATGTTATTTAATGCCTTATCAAATGAAATTGCTGATGCTTAAAATAACAAATTGATGTTGATTTTTAAGACATATATTGGAAAATTTTTCATCAAAATAGTCGAATAATATTGATCTTGATACTTTAAATATAATCTTGTTTAACTTATATAAAATCTCGATTTAAATTATTATTGAGATGTCAATCAAAATGAATATTCATGCGAATAGTCAAAAAATTGTCTTTCGAAGACATCGATTTGAATTTTTAGAATATATAAATACAAAAAATATTTGCCACTAATTGAAAGAAAGAGAAAATCCAAAAATTTGATATTCTATTTATAATAAAATAGAAAAATCTCAAAAAGATGTTCTCGGAAGTTCTTTTATTCATTAACCCCCCCCCTCCCCCCCC